AATTAAAGTAGAATCATCCATAAAGACCAAGTTGTTGATGCGTAGTTCGTCTGAACTAATCTCAGCCAAGGGATTAGATAAAGAAGGAGCATGAAGTATGTAGGGATCCATCATTTCATTCTTAAGAATAGTCAATAAAGGGTCTATATATATAACCCAAAGTAAGGGAGAGATAACTTCGCCTTGATCTATACCAATACAAACGCGGTAGGAAGGTGTAGTTCCATGAGCAGTAAAAACGCGATTAGAGCGTTTCATAAAAAGGGATAAAATAAACTTGGTAGCAGAAGCAGGAAGTTTAATGCGTTCTAAAGCAAAACGCAACATCTTGAGATCAACTGAGTCGAAAGCCTTCGAAATATCTTGTGAGAGAATCCAAAGCGGCGACTTGTTGACATGAGCATCATGGATAATAGATTCCAGGACGACAATAGGGTCGCGACAAGAACCTCCAGGGAGACCGGCGAAGTTACCTCCTTTCAAAACTTCCTTTGAAGCCAAAATGGAAGCAAGACGATTATAAAAAAGTTTGACCAAAGATTTCCTAATTACTTCAAGTAAAGTTATAGGTCTAGTATTCATAAGTTGACATTTCCATTCGTGAGGTTTAGGGATAGGGAAAACCATAGCTTGACGCCATAAATCAGGAATATCTGCAGTGTAAAGGCAGGATTGGACCAGGATTAAAACCAAAGCTGAAGTATTGGAACCCAGGTGCTTAAGCATTTCATAAGTGATCATAGAAGGACCAGGAGCTTTGTCATTAGGCATAGAAGAGACCGTAGATAACCATTCTTCAAGAGTAGGAGGATCCAATAAGGAATTATAAATAGAAGAATCCACATCGTCCATAGGACGATAAGCAGAAGACCATCTTTCAGGAAGAGCTGAAATATTATCAGGAGGAGTCGATTTGATGGGTACGGAATTCTGGAAATGGTTGATAACAGCGTCATCAATGTCGTGTGGGTCCGTTAAAAGTTTAGGTTGTGTAGGGTGGTCAATAAAAACACGATCCAAAGTGATACGGCGTCGAGTCCTTGAGAGAGCAGAATTAATAAATGAGGAAATATCAGTTTCAAAATGGGTATCCCTATCGTCCAATTTGGCACGAATGGAAGAGTCTTGAAAGTCTTTTTCTTTGAGAAGAAGGAAACCATGGAGGGCGCAAGAAATAGTCTTTAAAGATTCCAGTAAAAATTTAAATTCGTCTTGCCTACATGTGGACAAAGAAGTAGGTAAAATAGGGGGAGAAGGAATAACCTTCTTGTAAAGATAAAGAATCTTTTGAAGTCGAATGAAATGAATGGACCAAGTACGTTCATATCTATTATAATATGTGGAAGGATATTTTCGCAATAAGCGTATCGAATGCAACAAACGGCTGAGGAAACGATAATGTTGAGTCAAAGCTTCTAAATCCTTGGGCATCGTGGGTACATGTTGATTTCCAACTGTAACGGACGGAAGGGAAGTATTAGCAGCTTTCACAATTCGGGAATGTAAATATTCACATTGTTGATTGATGTGCCATGTTGAGAAGATTGAAGGAGAAACGTCGCATAAGGAATCAGTATGTGTAGAAAAGGATTCCCATTGTTGAGTAGTGACGGAATCGAGTTTAAAAACGCGTCGAGTCTGACGTTGAAGTTGTTTAGCACGAGCAACCTTGATAGACGCAACCAAGAGTGAATCATCAAAATACGTGATGATAGGATTGTGGTCCGAAGAGCAGGTGTCTTGGGCGTCAAAGATATAAGAAGTGAGAGCGAAGCCTTTTAGCATTGGGCAAGACCAAACATAGTCTATACGAGTAACTTGGTCATCACGGTGAAAGGTGCCTAAGGAATTAGAAGCGTTAACAGGGAAAGTTTCTTCGTAACCATGAGATAAAAGATGATGAAGCAAACGATAAGCTCGTTGCGAAGCAGTAGCAGGGCGATTAAAATAAATAGGGTAATATGTATCTAGGTGCATATTAAAATCACCACAAATGGCGTGATAAAAATTTTGTTGTTTGGCTTGCACCAGGAGTTGTAATAGGAGATCAATAGTTTCTGACCGTAGTTTAGAATCAGAGATAGGGGGAATATATATAACAAAAATACGCAATTTAATGTTGCCTTTGAAATAGAGATCAACAGATAAAATACGTGAAGAATGTGAAACAAAATCTTGTACATGAGAAGCAAGGGATTTTTCAATGAAAAGGGAAACGCCACCAGTGGAATTAACTTGTTTGGTTTTATCTATATCAGATGAAAAGACAGTATAGTTAGGGAGGCGTTTAGATAAGAAATGAATTTGTTTAGGGGATAAATGGGTATCTACGATACCACCAAAGGAAATATGTTTGAGATTGAAGAAATTAGAAATTTGCTCAATTTTAACTTGACTATTATGGCGAAGGCCATTAACATTAAAGGATGAAATATTAAAAGAATTAGGGATAGGAGAAGAATTCGAGGTAGTAAATAAAGATTCATGTTCTGAAAAAATATAAGTATCTACGGGGTTGGGTGGGTTACGAACAAATGTATCATAATTAAAATTGTCTGACATTAGAGCACAATGATAATCAGGAACGGGGAAGGGGAACAGAAAACAATTATTGCGAAGGAGCAGAAGCTCGATTGGAGGGAGAACCACCAAGAGAAGCAATAAAACCTTGAATGGAACCAGTGAGCGATTGCAAAGTATCTTTAATCGCTTTTTGATCTTGGATAACCGAATTCAATTCATCTTGCAGGGAAGGGTTAGAGATGGACGTAGGAACTGAGTGCGGAACATTATTGGGTGTAGATTTGGGAGAAGAGGAATTCTTTGCACCAGAAGATAAGGGAGCATTAGGATGTGGAATTAGAGTACCAGTAGTTTCAGGAGGGTCTTCTTCCATCCGATCAGGTTCAGAATTGACAACAGGTGCGGAGGGAGGGTTGATGCCTAAATGGGCTTCAATAGCAGACAGCCGTTGGTTGTTAAGTTCAAGGGTTGAAATGCGGGATTCCACTCGTGCAACATCTTGTTGAAGAGTTTGTAAAACGTTAAGTATCTTGAGGGCAGCCTCAAGGGCATTAGAAGTGTTTGAATCGGAAAGTGGAGTGCGAGCATTGGACGAAAAGGAAACAGATCTATCTTTGCCTTTCCGATTATTGGAAGGTGTTCGTCCATGAGCAGAAGTAGAAGGATTAGCTAAACCGGAAGAAGGGGGTATAGTATTGTTATTGCTGTTATTATTATTATTAGGGCGATTGGGGTTTGAATTAGAACGTTGAGCAGAGGCAGAACGATCCCGGGATTTAGAACGAGATCGAGACCGAGAACTATTACGCGAAGATCTTTGTTGAGCAGGTCTTTGGCCAATGTTGAAACGTTCTTTAAGGGCGGCAACAGGGTCACGTGTACGTGAGCGTCCGCGGCGTTGGTTGAGTGGGCAGGAGGTAGGAGCACATCCAAGTTTTCCACATCTGTGGCAAAGGGCTTTCGAATCGTTGGAAGTACCCCACCGAAGAGTACGACCTTGGAATCCTATCGTTTGTTCCATAGCGGCATCCATTGTCGCTTGTGAATTGAAAGTAACATAAGCCCATGGTTTAGGTTTATATGAGTTTAAGGAAAGAGGAATATTAATGGCTTTGGCTCCGTGTTCTTTAACTAATGGAGCAAGATGGATGTCTTTAGTGTTAGCAGGGAGTCCAGAAAGGACAGCAACAAATTCACGACGAGCAGCTTTTTGATCCACTGAATAGTGACAGGGAGTAACGCGCAAACAGGTGGAAAAACAATAAACTGCCCATTGGGTGGTAAAACGGGCGATGGCATCGGCATGATCATAAACGATGCGGGCTTGTTGCATTTTGGCACCTTTTCTTGAATAGAGATGAAGGGACAGCAAATTGCCAAATTTCTTGAAATAGGATTATAATTGGGGTTTGGTAATGAAGAATGGTATATCCGTGACTTGAATAGCACGGAGGTCTTCATCGGACCGGAGCTGTTTGGGATCGTACAGGTGGAATTGTAGGTCTGAAAATTCCGAGTGTGTGCTACCAACACACAAGTCACGAGCCTCCGCAGTATGGAAGTGAATGATGAGACGTTTGGCGTCCCCTGAACCAGTCATACGAGCACGACCGGTATATGATTCGTATGTTTCTAAAAATAAGTTGTTAACGGCATCAATGATTTCCTTATTAGTTTTAAGTTTCTCTAGAGTTTGGGGAGCGGAGTTGGGCGCAGCCGCAGCCAGGAAATCTTGACGATTAATGGTAATAGTTGGGGAGGGATCTACAGCTTGATCGGGTGATGTACCATCATTTTCTTCCATATTAGGGGACGCGTTAGGGGATGAGTTATTTTCTTTGTTTCGAGGTGCATGAATTGACGCGTTAGCTCCAGAGGACGCGTCTTGGCCAGACGCAGTGGGCGCAGCAGAATTATTCGGGGTAGAAGCTTGAGTATTTTCTTGGGCGGTGCTGCGGGAATTATTTTGTTGAGGAATAGCGGTCTAAGTTGAACCAACTAAACCACCTTCAGCCGGCGCGTCGGCAACGAAATCTTCATAGTCTTCATCCATGGAGTCTTTTGTAAGTGTACGGGAACGTTTTTGGGAATTATTATCACTATCAGAACCAGAGTTATCAGAGAGTTGTTTTTTATTATTTTTCTTTTCTTGACGAGCAGCCTTGTTACTATTAGGATTATAGCTGCCGCCACCTCTTCTAGCAAGGTTTCTAGACATGTTAGAAGGTATGGGTTGGGTAAAATATAAGAGTTGTTAGTACGAAGATATAAAATTTTCTTTCCAAAAATTTTTGGTCAATAGATCGGCGGTAAGAGATCTATCAATCCTTTCAATCCTTGTTGAAAAAATTCAAGGATACCTGATAATAAGGTTACATGGTCATCAATCCTTGTCGAAAAAATGCAAGGATACCTGATGATAAGGTTACATGGTCATCAGTTCTTGTCTAGAAATATGAGGATACCCGATAAATAAGCTACTCCTGTTGAGTCCATTCGTTCCACTCCCAGTTCAGTCCCCAAGGGTCGCCTCCCCATCTTTGTTCACTTAATGCATGCTCTATGGTTTCCCTCTCTTGGGGTTCACGACCATCCCATTCCTAAGCATTTTCTCCATAATATAAAGCTGATCCTCGGTGAGGTGGTCTATCCATCTTTTATAGAAGTCGTTTACATCTTCAAATGATATTCAGTCAATATTCCCTTTTTCAAACGGCTTTTCAAGAGCTTGGACATGTCCAATTGTAGTAGTGTAATTTTTCCATCTCTTATATGCTTCTTAACGAACCTCCTGCCACCACACACTATCTACTTTACTTGCTGCAATAAGGTCAGTATCTGGGATCTTTGCAACAATGCGTTCGACTATTTCTACTGGTAATCGGTCCAACATGATTTTATGTTACTTATACTATAGCTATCTTCAATTACTGTATGCCCATTACAAATGGATAAAAAATATAAACTAAATTTGTACAGGAGCCGCTTATGCAAGAAGTTCTGCTAAGATTTTCTCAGCCTCATTCATAGTGACAGCTCGCTTTGGGGGGCCTGTTGATGAGTCCTTAATTATATTATAATACAACTCAAAGAGGGCCTCAAGTTTGTCTAGAAGAGCTTGTTTATTCTTGTATAATTCACGAATCTTTGCTATCTTAGCAGTATATGCTGCATTATCTGGGAAGAGTTTTCTGGCCACAAACTTCACATATGATACAGGAGACTTTGCTGTCTGGATTCTCTTGATATACTTCACATGATCCTGGACAAGGTAGCTGGTTTTGCTAAACCCAGATACTAATGCTACTACTATAGTGTCTTTTAATGCACGGATAATCTTGAGGACAGTTTCATCAGAGATAATGGTGAACTGATTGCATGATGCATCATAAATAACTTCATCACTAATGCTGTCAGTGCTGTTAATAATGCTTGCTAATTCGGTATATGTTGACATGATTCCTTATACTTTTTTGTACTTTGTAATAAATAGGAATATTCAAATTGACTTTACATTCAAGCAAGAAAAAATATATATACCTATTGTAAACCCAACCGCATTCTTGGCAATCATGTCCAGATAACCTTGTTTGCATTTTTCACATGGCAGTATTCTGCGTTTTCAAACTTGAAAGCTTTCAATGCTTTGGATGCATTTTCTGAACAAGTGATAAGTGTAGGACTACTTGGCTGTTCCTCTAGAATAAATCCATCTGTATGGATGCGTCATACTTTATCCTTATATGTAAGGTTGCTTGCCGAAACCTGTTTGGCCTAATGCTGAAAGGTGAAACCTCTTATATAGTGCCGAAACGCCGAAACGCCGAAACCTGTCAAAATTGAGAAACTGCCGAAACATGCCGAAACCTCTATAATAGGTTTCTCCATAATTTTGGCATAGTTGATCATAAGATTTGCATATAGTTACGCCAAGTTACACCAATTAATAATATAATTTAAATGATCAAATAATCTACAGATAAAAGATTAAACTTCAATATTTTACCGTCGTCTTAGTTCTTTTAAGCTTTATCTAGTGTTAGAATTTTCATTTCTAACTCCTATATTAATATTATGATATTACACGTTTTTACAGTTTTTCTTTAAGGGGCTTATATTCATTAAAGGAAAATGCGTAACATGCATTTAATAAACCCAATT